AGCGCGGTTGAGATCAAACTCGACGACGAGATTCATGCCCCTAATTCTGCTGTCTTCTCTACCAGAAAGATGGAACGGAACGATGACTGTAGTCAGCGCTTCAGCAGGGAAGGAGAAACTGAAATTCGATGAAGTCAGAAATTTGGCGGTGAGCGAAGAAATTTGCAGGAAGGAATCAGGCTTGACTTCTGGATCGGCGTTGAGTACAGAGAACCGGGGCAGAACGAAGTCGAAATCCAAATCAAATCGAGATAGATCAAGATCGAAATCCAAGTCAAATAGCAAGGGCAAGAAGGACAGAAGTCAGATCAAGTGCTGGAACTGTGAGGAGTATGGACACTTCAAGAGCCAGTGCAAGGAGCAGATCAAGGATCAGAAGGAGAAGACATCCGTCAATGCAACGGCAGAATCATCTGGCGATGATCTCCTGATCCTAAGCGTGAGCAGTCCGTTGGAGTCATGGGTTCTGGATTCTGGAGCTTCGTTCCATTCATGTGGTAATGCTGAAGTGATGGAACAGTATACTCCCGGCAATTTTGGAGAGGTGTATCTTGTTGATGATGAGCCTCTTAAAATTGTCGGAAAGGGTACAGTCCACGTGAAGACTCCGAACGGATGCATGCTGAAACTGAATGGAGTCCGACACATTCTTGGTTTGAGGAGAAATCTTCTTTCAATTGGGCAGCTGGATGAGTAAGGCTACGCAGTTACATTCGATAGTAGAAATTGGAAGATCACCAAGGGAGCCTTGTTGGTTGCTAAAGGGAAGAAGGAGGATACGTTGTACATGACAACGAACTCTAAGGATTGTATTGATGTTGTTGCCGCTGCAGCAAACGATGTCAATTTGTGGCACTGTCGTCTCGGTCACATGAGCGAAAAGGGGATGAATGAGTTGTGCTCGAAGGGAAAACTGCCCGGCCTGAAGACTGTTGAGGTTGGCTTATGCGAGGACTACATATTCGGGAAACAGAAACGTGTCAGTTTCTCGAAGGGTAGACGAGCTATTAAACCGGAGAAGCTGGAACTAGTTCACACCTACCTTTGGGGACCTGCAGAAGTTACATCCTTTTGAGGATCCGCCTACTACATGACCTTTATTGATGATGCCACAAGAAAGGTGTGGGTTTATTTTCTCAAAAATAAATCCGATGCCTTTGATGCTTTCAAGAGGTGGAAAGCTCTTGTTGAGACAGAGACAGGTCTGAAATTGAAGTGACTTCGATCTGACAATGGAGGTGAGTATGAACTGCATGAGTTCAAGAAGTTTTGTGTTGAGAATGGGGTTCGTATGGAGAAGACAACTAAAGGGACTCCGCAGCATAATGGCATTGCTGAACGCATGAACAGAACACTGAATGAGCGGGCTAGATGCATGAGGTTGAAGAGTGGCTTACCGAAGATCTTTTGGGTGGATGCAGTGAACACCGCGGCTTTTCTCATCAACAGAAGTCCAACGATCTCGTTGGATAATGGCATACCTGAAGAAAGGTGGACGGGTAAGGAGGTCAATCTGTCCTATCCCCGCATATTTGGTTGTGTTGCTTATATTCATCTCAGTTTCGTTGACCGAAGCAATCTAGACGGAAAATCTGTCAAGTGTACGTTCGTTGGCTATGGTGGTGGTGACTATGGATACAGATTCTGGGATGATCAGAATAGGAAGATTATTCATAGCCGAGATGTGGTGTTCAACGAGCAGGTTATGCACAAGAAAAGGTTGAGTGTTTCTGATTCTGAGCCAGATAATCCGAAGATCATTGAGTTAGATATCTCTAATTCGGGTGGGAGCAATCAGGATCAGAATGAAGAGTTGAGCAGTGATGAAGATCCATCAATCCCACCAAGCCAGCGGCCTGGCAGAAACTGGAGTGCACCAAATAGGTATTCGCCTTCTAATTTCTATTTGTTACTTACTGATGGTGGTGAACCGGAGTCCTATGCAGAGTCAGTTCAGGTTGATGACAAGGGCAAGTGGAAACTTGCAATGGATGATGAGATGGCATCTCTCACATCCAATGATACTTGGAGGTTAGTTGAGCTACCAAGAGGAAAGAAGGTTTTGCACTGCAAGTGGGTCTACCGCATCAAGAAGGAGGCAGATGGTAGCAAACGCTACAAAGCTAAGCTTGTTGTGAAGGGATTAGAGAAGCGCTATGGTATTGATTATACTGACATATTCTCTTTGGTTGTGAAACTAACTAATATTCGGTTGGTGTTGGGGTTAGTTGCTGCAGAGAATTTGTTGTTACATTAGATGGAAATGAAGACTGCATTCATTCATGGTGATCTAAATGATGAGATTTACATGGTGTAACCGGAGGGCTATGTGGCAGAGGGCAGTGAGAATCTCGTATGTAAGCTAGTGAAGAGCTTATACGGGTTGAAGCATGCACTGAAGCAGTGGTACAAGAAATTTGATGGTTTCATGAGGGACATAAATTTCTTGAGATGCCACACCGACAATTGCTGCTGCTACAAGAAGACCGAGAACTGTTATCTTATCTTGCTGTTATATGTTGATGATATGTTGATTGCAGGAGTTAGTTCAAAGGAGATTGAGAATCTAAAGTAACAGTTGTCAGAACGTTTTTCCATGAAGGATCTTGGAGAGGCAAAGCATATTTTGGGCATGCAAATCGAGAAGGATGAGGCAGCGGGCAGATTGTATCTTTCACAAGCAGAATACATTCAGAAGGTCCTGGAAAGATTCAAAATGTAAGATGCAAAGGCAGCAAGTGTACCATTGGGTAGTCACTTCAAGCTTAGCAAGGAAGACTCACCGAAGAACAAGGAGGAGTGTGCTTAAATGCAGAATGTCCCATACGCCTCGGCAATTGGCAGCATCATGTACGCTATGGTGTGCATGAAGTCAGACATTGCACATGCGGTGGGAGTAGTGAGCAGATACATGGGAGATCCCGGGAAAGGACATTGGGAAGCTATGAAGTGGATCATGAGATATTTGAAAGGTACTGCTTCTAATGTTTTGTGTTTTGATGGGAAGAATGTAGAGTTGCTGGGACATGTTGATGCAGACCTGGCATCGAATGACTCGGATGGATCGAGAAGCACCACGGGGTATGTTTTTACATTTGGTGGAACGACAGTTTCATGGCTTTCGCAGCTGCAGAAGATTGTTGCATTATCTACCATTGAAGCTGAATATGTGGCCATTACGGAGGCAAGTAAGGAGATGGTGTGGCTTCAGAATCTATTTAGGGAACTTGGGAAGGAGTACAAGAATAGCATTCTTTACAACGACAGTCAAAGTGTTATTTTCTTGGCAAACAACTCAACTTTTCACAAGAGAACCAAAAACATTCGGTTAAAGTATCACTACATCCGTCATCTTCTAGATATAGAGGCATTGCAGCTTGTTAAGATCCGTGGGAGTGAGAATCCAACAGACATGTTTACTAAGGTGGTAACCTTGGAGAAATTGAAGCTTTGCATAGCTTCAATTGGCCTTGGTACTTGAAATTGAAGGCCGACGCTACCATGCTAACAAGGGAGGATTTGAAGAATACAGTCTCAAGGTGGGAGATTGTAAGGTGTTAGAGACTGTATAACCAAATCTTTCTTAATTTATTTTTGGAAACACATTTCTTAATTTATTTTTAGAAACGCATCCTAGTTGCCTTGGGGTTAGGTTTTACTTCTCTATAAATACAAGCTCTCTCCCTTGTAATCATGTGTGGATCCAAAAATAGCAATAATATTCCTGGCTTGGTAGCGCCCCCAGACGTAGTCATTTGTGGCGAACTAGGTTACCAAATTTTCGTGTGTTCTTATTATTCATCGCATGCGTGAGTTTAATTCCTAACAGTGTACAGTGTGTGTGCAGTGTGCAGTGTGCAGTGTGTGTGTACAATGTGTGTGTGTGCAGTGTGTGTGTGTGTGCAGTGTGCAGTGTGTGCAATGTGCAGTTTGTGCAGTGTACAGTGTGTGTACAGTGTGTGTGTGTGTGTGCGCGCGCGCGCACGCAGTGTGCGTGTGTGCGTGTGTGCAGTGTGTGTGTGTGCAGTGTTTGTGCACAGTGTGTGCGCGCAGTGTGTGTGTGCGCAGTGTGTGTATTCTCAGATACACGTCATGTTTAATGTAATGCTTATTACACATATCAAAGTAATGAGTTTCATATGTGCAATGACCATTACATTACGGTTTAAAATAAAATTACATACGAAACAGCGTAATCAAATCAACATCAACATGTAATGCTCATTACATTACATGGTTAATTAGGTTATACCAACAGCCTTAGGAATGTTTTATACACACAAAGACCAAATCTGTCGTCAAGCTGCTAATTGACTCTTTTTGCATTTTTATTTAGTTAAATACTCCGTACAATACTCTGATGCTGTGACCAAACAGTCCAGGCTAATTCCAGCTAGGGGTGGACCGGTTCCGGGCCGGGCCCGGTTCGGGCCTTAAACCAGCCGGGCCTCGATTCAAGGTAGGGGAGGCCCGGAACCGGCCCGGGTAACCCCGGGTCCGGTTCTATATAATTTTTTTTTTTGGGTTTTCCTAATCAACCCCCTACCCTCCCCCTCAACCCCAAACCACCTCAAATGGCCCAAAATACCCAATCCAACCCAAAAACTTAAAAAAAATTCAAAAAAAATAAATAAATCCGGCCCGGACCGGGCCCGAACCGGCCGGGCCAGTTCACCAAAATGAAGGCCTGAGCCCGGAACCGGTAGCCACCGGGCCGGGTCGACCCAAACCGCCCATGGGCCGGGCCGGGCCGGTTCAAATAGTGACCGGGCCGGGCCGGTTCCGGTTCGGGCCGCCCGGCCCGAGTCCAACCCTAATTCCAGCATCCATTCAGCTTTCACCAAAACCTCATATACCAACGGTTAAAGTTTGCAACTCAGACCGAAATGATAAGACCAGTTATGAACATTTACTCTTCTCGTCTCTCCTAAAGAATCTTGAGTTGAGGGGTTTCAAAAAGGCTGTTTTTTAATTTTCACCAACGTTATAGGCTTTTTAAAAAATCAATTTGCTCTTCAAAAAAAAAACATTTTGCATGTAACAAACAGACCCAAATACACGATGGCAGCAAAAAGAGTCATTATTATTGAAATGAACTATACATCTGCTTAAAGGTGGCAAAACAAGCCCCCACCTACGATACACGAGCAACTAAAGCAGTAATGGTCTTATTAAAGGGAACAGCACTTAACATCCACTTCAGTCTTCAAGGTAGCAAAAGGAACCGAACATGACATATTACAACTTCCAAGATCTAAGACACACCACCACCTGCTGAATTACTCAATATAAATCACGAAATCTGTATTAACTACTCCTCACGGGCAATAAGATCCATGACGACCCGCTTTATGCTTCCACCGTTCTTCTTGAGGAGTTTCTTGTTAACCCCCTTGTCACAAAAGCCCTGGTCATTCATTCATTCATAAGCCAAAGAATTAGCTCAGGTACAACTTGCACATATAAAAAACAATATTGTACCCATTAAAGATTAACCTACCATCTCCTCCAACTCCTCAAGGACGGGATCCCACTCAGAAACACCGCACAGATCATCAATAGACTGCTCCAAATCATAATCATTCATTCGCAATACCTCCTTGTTCAGATCTGTCTGTTTAAAACCCATGTCATAAAGTTCCTTTAGGAGGGCTGTCTCCACCTCACTGTTTTCTTTATCAACATTTATTAGAGGCACAACAGCTGGTGCAACGTCAGAGAGATCAACAACAGGGTATGAAACCGAAGAGGCGGTTGCTGGAGTAGTAGCAGGTTGTGGTTTGCTGTTTACACCAATAATCAAGCTGTCGTTTATGGGGAAGAAGTTTGCCTCCTGCCCCTTCATTGAACTTGTCCCCTCAAGAGAAGGTTCAACCAACTCCACAGATTTGTACGAGAGTATAGGCTCTGGATGGCTGCTATCTCCAACAACTGATTCAGTGTTCGACTCAACCATTTCAGCATTTACTATGCTACTGCTTGAGGGCGGCAGATTCAAATTCAATCCACGTAGACTTTCAGGGGCGGGGTTCCTAGTGGCTTCATTTGTAGTAGCAACAACCTGCATTATAGGAGATTCAATAGAATTAATTATTGGGTAAGCATCTTTCAACTCAGCCATAAGGTACTTGGGTCAAACCACGTTAAAAGATTGAATCTAATATGTTAGTGAGTTCAACCCAAGGTCTTATTAACCATCACTTTATCTTAAATTTTCTGATCTGGGTTTCTAACAAAATTTATTGAGACGCAAAGATGCTAATTGTACACTAGGAAGATGTTTTTCATCTAACCTCGATTTGCACCCAAATAAGCTGACCAAATGTTTGGCCAAAAGGTGAGGCCATCCTCCAGTTCGAAACATATCGGCCTGGCACATTAGGAGCAATTAAATCAACTGCAACATCAAGCTCTTGTTCAACAGACACGCCAGCTGCAGCTATCTGACAACCAGGACAAAATAATAATAATAAAAATAAATACTTTACTATAAAATAAACAAGCACGAGAGGTTGAATACACAATAACTTGTCATGCAAGAACTCTGTGCTCAAGTGAAAGCAAATCAAGAAGCTAAAAATTCCCACCTCCAAGTCTACAGACATCACATCACTTAGTATATCCCCATCGATCCACACAACTTTGGAGCCTTTGGGCCAGCAAATATTACCATTGTTCCTCATCCTCCAAATTTTGGTAAAACGAGTAGAAGGTGGAATTATGGTACCATCTGGAATATTGACATCCTGTACAAAACGGCTGGAAAGTTTTGGATGGTTGGGTTTTGGACCAATTCCACGATACATGTATGGTGGGCGCATCCTTGCATGCTGAAGATTGAAGAGCATATTCAAATGAAAGAAGGCTAAATGACAGAACCAAAGATATATAAATCGTGCTTAAAGAAACATCCATACCTGATCCCTTAATCCCCCCATTGCACAAGGGTTCTGAATGTTTACTGGGCGATCTATTCTGATATAATCGGCTTCACTACTCCCCTTATCACAAAAGCAGATGCTACACAGGTCATAGTTCTCTTTTCTACAATTACAAATATAAGAAACTGAATGTATTAAGCATCTGATTTAAAAAATTATATTCTCTCCATCCCAAAATGCAAAATGCAAAATGCAGTTGGATTCGACAAGATTTTTATGAAATAGAGGACATAATTGTAGTTTTACAATTGTAACTTTCTAAAAGGAATAAAAAGTAGTATAGTAGTATGGGGTCACAAAAGGCTAAAGGTGAAATGATAGAATGATGAAGTGGGAAAGTAAAAGTTAGTGAAATTCTAACTAGGAAGGTGTTCACAATTTTGGGATAGACGAAAAAAGGACAAGTGCATCTAATAAAAATGAGGGAGTAGATGACAAATTTATGAATTCAACTATAGTTGCAGTCAAGAGTAGCTCACACTTTAGACTTGAATCTAGGGCCAGTTATTGGGTGGACCCCACAACCATCACAACAAACACCCTTGTGGAGTATTTTACCAATACCAACACTGTGGCCATGGCTTACTTTTGGGTGGGTATAAAAGGGAACTGGCGGCGGTGAGACTGGGTTATCAACAGTTTGAACACCTGAGAAAGGACACGCATTCATAACTGCTGGACCAAGGCGTGGAGGATTTGAGTCCAGAATAGTAGAATGATACCATTTCCTTGAAGGACCACCACTTGAGTACCCAAAGGATGCACTCGGATTGATAGGCCCAAATCCGGTAGAACCTCTAGTATTAACAACATGGTTTCCAACAACAGAGGGAACACTAGAGCTTGAAATGCCAAGAGCCTTTCCAACAAGACTGTTGTCACAAAATTTATTACTATCAACCCGGCTCCTAATACTGGCCTCAAACATAATAGGTTCCGGATCTCTTGCTGCAGATCCAATCAAAGGTTCATTAAGATTAACAAACATTCTTTTTTTAGTAATAAGAGCCTCGCTTTCAGATTCTGTTGTTACGCTTGGTTCACTAGGTTCCAAGACCTCATTTACAGCAGATGTTGTTTGATCAGGTCTGGTGTGTAACACCAGACCTGATGGAACTCTATCCACCGATGGATTATTTTCAGTCACACCACTAGCATTTCCAGTGGCTTGCCTCTGTGAGTCGGTCTCTTTTTTACTTTGAGTTTCAAGGAGCTGGTTTAGATAAGATGAGCCTATCCTTGAGAATGCTTCAGCAAGCTCAGTAAGGACAGGGGGCGCAGATGATGAAGCACTAGAAACCATGTCAGCAAACAGTTTAATGGGAGCTTCATGCAAGAGCCCTGGCCCTCTCTTAAAATGCTTCTCCTGAAATGAAGACTGTGTGCTGGGGGGGCTTTCTGAAGGTATACCATTCCTCTCAACATTCAATTTCACCGATATTCTCAATGGATCCAGCCTCTGCTTGACAATATCTGTCAGATCGTCATCATCTGCTAGTGTCACTTCTTCATCGTCCTCATCAGTATACGTAAGGGTAATTACAGTATCAGAAGGAATTTGGAAAAGATGAAGTATTTTCTCCTTCAGTTCATTTATGTTAAGACCAAGCGTTTCATTAACAACAGGAGCATTGAAGCGCCGGAGTGTATCACCGCGCTTGACCTGAAGTAAATTGATCCAAAAAATAAAAAATTAACAAATAATAATAGTATTAAAAACCGGACCAATGGTTGAATGAGTCAAAGAACTGGTTCAGTGGTCACCCTCTGGTTGAGCAATTATTAATTACACACACATACATGACATTCACGCAGTGAGAAAAAAAACATGCATGTAAAAATACAACCATGCATATTTGCATATTTATAATTCGGTATAAAAATAAAAATAACATTACTCTAATTTATATCCACTAACTCCATCAAAAGAATATTATAATGGACCATGAGGATATGATGAGAACTATCACATTAGGCTCTAGAGAAAAAAAATCAAACCAGAAACCAGTAAAGCAAACGGTTACATCCTGTTTTGAGCTGGTTCGATCAATTCACCATTGGTTGATAATGTTCTGTATGCAGAACAGACCAATTTACCAGCCGCTACTCGATCTGACCAGTCAGCCTAGTCCGGTTTCAATACCATACATATAAAAGTTGATGAAGTTTTTTGCTAAGTATTTCAATAGTAACAATATAAATATAAAGAAATTCTCGACCAGCCCTTCCGAACAGCTTAAATCAGAAAAAAAAATCATAAATTCCAAATATTGCACCAGATGAAAAACTACAAAATATACTTGGTTAAATATCATCATACTCTACAACATAAAAGCATATAGAACTTCAAACAAAAAATGGACTGTTTCCTTGCCATTCCATTCAGGGCAGAGCTTTCACAGAATTTTGCACACAAAATTCAATTCTTCAATATCTCTTAGCCATAATATCTTGCCATAATATCTCTCAGCCCTGCTGTGTCACAATTCATAAATATGCAATTATATCTTAATAAAACAACAACATCCAAGACTTAATCCCAAAAGAGTTTGACCGCCTAATATGAATCGATAAATTATAAAAATTATCGATAATAGATTATTCATGTAGTATAAAATAAGAAATGAAAAGAAGTTTAACAGTTATCATGTTAATAACTTATTCACCTTAAAGTTAAATTACAAATATTATTGTCATACTTATTGGTAATAATAGCATTATTGTTATGGCATTCATGCATGTAAATGGATAGAAATATAAAATTAATGATAAGTAAAAGTAGTTGTAATACTAACTATTCCTGATTCCTATTAACCATTGAGAAACTATGAAATTTGAACTAATTTATTTATTAAGACAAATCTCGGAGGAGGTCAAGGATGCTTACCTTCTTAAAACACTATTTCACAACCATCTAAAAACAAATGATGGCTAGTGGATCTTAAAAACATCTAGTGTCTCACTGAACTTAATGTTATACCTAGTGTATCACACTCTCACAGGCTTAACCGCTCAATAAAAAAATGGTACTCGATCTTGATGAATTAGGCATCTTAATACCACTAATTCATACTCGAATTGATTATTGTCCAGATAAAAACCCATAATCCAATAAATATATGCTTTTAGAAAAACTCATCATAATCATCATCCCCTTAATGTTAACATACAATAGATTTCAACCAAGTTGGAGTGGGTGACATGAAATTTAGCTTCAACAAAACGTCTAAATACATCATCAAAAGCTTAAATACATAATTACAACAAATAAATCAATAAAAGTAATGAATAGAAACAATTGAATGACAGGTTAAAGCAAAGCATGAATGATCCTTCAGAAAAGTATTGGACTCTAGAAACGCTGAACTGAATTCCCCCCTGCGAAGTCATAACCCTAACATCCAACTGGTGAAGCTAAAGCACGTATCACGATCAGGCGCAAAAAAACTCAAAGTGGAGAAAACCAAATACACAGAATGACAGAAATATATAAAAACAAGAAAATCAGGCATAAAGGAGAAAAATCAAACCTTGATCACTATAGAGGACTCCATAGTGATTAAAAATTCTTCAGAGCAAACCGAGGTCGAGCGGCGAAAACTGAGCAAAAAATGAATAAGATTTTATCGCACCGCGTATCCGTGAGCCGCGCTTAATATGTAATTTGCACCTAAAACCCTTCAGTCGCGATGGAAACATATACAGGGAAACTGGACATTACAGAGTATTTTGTTATTCTTGTTTCTGACGGAGTATTTATCTCATAATATTATCTCGCAAAATATAAATCTCATGGTTCCTATTTATCATCTACTAGTATACTCTTTCTTGGTGCCGAAGTATACCTCTATACTAAGGAACCAGTCTCTTATAAAGTCTTAAGCGTCCATATCAGGGATATTTTATTTTGAAAAAATTGAAAATAATAATCTCAACAATTGCCGATCCGCTAACAATAATCCCAACTATTGATTATTTTTGTATAATCCCAACTATATGGACCATCCACCAATAATGATGCATGACCAGATAACAAGTGAATTTCAAATAGAAATTAAGCGTAAAAATTAAAAGTTGGGATTATTTATAGAGAGTACTTGTTATATCTCTTCTCATCCACTTTAGAAACTATATGAATTTATTTATAGCCGGTCATGTCGGACCATTATTGACGGAAGGTTCCTAAAGTTGGGATTATTCTGAAATAATCGATAGTTGGGATTATTATGAGCGGACCACCAATAGTTGGGATTATTACTATCAATTTTTCCTTTTATTTTTTAGTTAAGTGTTTGGAATTAATTGTGCTTCTACTTCTTTTTTAAGGTAGAAGCAAATTCAGAATCAGTTTTCCGAATTTGATCTCTCCCAGCTTCTAAAAAAACTGATTCTAGGAGTAAATTAAAGCACCAGAATCACTTCTGCACTTTCACCCAAACACTCCAACTTGTGCTTCTGCTCCCTTAATGGATGAGGATAGTGCCCCTTAATGGATGAGGATAGTAATTTTAAGGAAAAATTGATAGTAATAATCTCAACTATTGGCGGTCCGCTTATAATAATCTCAACTATCGATTATTTCAGAATAATCCCAACTTTAGGGACCTTCTGCCAATAATGATCCCTTTAAATAAATTCTTGTAGTTTCTAAAGTGGATGAGAAGAGATATAGCAAGTAATCCCTATAAATAATCTCAACTTTTAATTTTTTCGCTTAATTTCTATTAAAATTCACTAATTATATGAGGTAATATCTGATAATGGACCATTATTGGCGGATGGTCTATATAGTTTGGATTATACAAAAATAATCTATAGTTGAGATTATTGTCGGCGGACCGGCAATAGTTGGGATTATTATTTTCAAATTTTCGTAATTTTAAAGCTTACCCAATGAATCTATATATTAATTAACTCACTTAAGTGAGTCTCCCGCCTAATCATTGAGGGCATTTGAGTAAATTTGAGTGAATTACTTATCCCTTAGCCGCCTCCAACCCTTCGTCTCATCGTTTTCAAGTGTTCGGAGTTCCTGGCTCTCACATACCTTCTCCTCTACTCCATGTCTCCATTCTCACTGACAAACTCTCAACTAGCTTGAAATCTCCCAAATTGTCACTGATTCTTCACACAATTCTGCCGATTCCTCAGAGATTCCTAAAGCTGCTTTCTCACAAATTCATTGGTTATCAGGTTAGTATATATGCTCATGTATAATATCCGATTCGTTATTTATGTATACAATTCAATATTCTTACTCCGGTTATAGTGGAAAACTATCTGATTTGTATTTTACTAGATTGTATACTCATGTCTAAGACCCAATTCTTTTATGTTTAACATTAAAAGAGAACACTATTAGTTTTCTTTTATAAAAATTGTCCTTTTCCCGGCCTTTATATAAGAAAAATGTACTTCTCTAATATTTGAAATTAGATTTTTCCCTTTATCAATTACTTCTACTGTGGGGCTATAAGATTTGCTTTTTGGAGTTTTTTCTTTAATCCTTTTTTGGCTATAGTGCAGATTATTACAAAAGATTGAAGATTTTTTGGAGTTTTTTCTTTAATCCTTCTTTGGCTATAGTGCAGATTATTAAGAAAAGATTAATGATAAAAAAGACTTCTGCATTTTTCTTTTTTAAACCATTATTGTGTAGTGATTTAAAGTCTTATATCAAGAAGAGAAGGTTCCAAGTAATAATATGCCATTTTTCTTTCTTGCAATTTTTTTTGCTTGCAATTACTTTGTCTTGAAATCTAAATCAGCTTCTTTAAGGTGTTTAGATCTTGCATTCCAATTCTTTTCATTAAGCTATTCAATAATTACATACTACGTATGTGTGTGTGTATTTTGTCAATTTGCACCGTCTTTTATTCCAACATGTAAACTTTCATGGCTATCTTATTTGGTTCATTTCATTATGGGAATATGTCATATTCTTGGGGTATGGTTTTAGAATACATGGATGGTTAAGATCATTTTTTCGTTTATTGCACTTCTCTATATTGGAAATTAAAGTTTTTTCCTTTATTTACTGACTATTTAAAGTAATTAAATATTGTACACAACTGGTGGTTCAGATCATTTTTTCGTTTATTGCACTTCTCTATATTGGAAATTAGAGTTTTTTCCTTTATTTACTGACTATTTAAAGTAATTAAATATTGTACACAACTAATTATCATTTTTTCGTTTATTGCACTTCTTAATTTGACCAACCTTTTTGATACACGCGCGCGCACACACTTATATCAAAAACCTAAGTTTCTAGCCTTAGCTTTGCCAAACTACCTTTGAATTTGTGGTTGGTTAATATTCAGGCTCTTTGCTCTTTCGAATTCCCTCTTCTCGATGTTTTCTCAATGTAAAATAGAAAAGTGGTTCTGCATATAGAAAAGTGATTAATGTGGTCCCTCTTCTTGCATTTCTTATTGTTACTTAAATGTATAGAAAAATGACAAACACCATATTGCTGAGAAAAGGAGATCTATTTGTCAATTCACCCTTAGGATGTTTTTACTTGGACTGTAATTTGCCCCAGACCAGACCAGACCAGACCATACTTGGGTAGTTATAAAAATAAAAAGAAACCAGACCAGACCAGTTCAGACCAGACCAGATCAGACCAGACCAGTAAATTACAGTGCAAGTAAAAACATCCTTAACCTCCATATGAATGCATCATTTCTGCTTCATGGAACGACCAACTGAAATGTGCTCTTTTGAAACCTCGCATTGGGCTCATGACTTGCTAAAATAGTGAATATTAATTTATGTTGCTTTAGGACACACCTAGAAGCCAATGCAATTAGGACATCATTGACTCAAACATACGGATGTAATGCTCTAAAGTTGCATGATTGATATGTGACATTGATGGAGTTTGGTTGAAGTTTAGAGTTGTCTTTACCACTTCGAGCATTGTGTTGGAGTATGGGGTTAATCACAAGACTCTTGATGACTAGAAGGCTTCATTTTATTTTGATGGTACACTAGCTTTTAAACACTATATGAAAATATGTGTATTTTTTGTCCTATTGCTATTGTAATATTTTTCATTAGCTACTAAACACTATATGAAAATATGTGTATTTTTTGTCTTATTGCTATTGTAATATTTTTCTGTATGCTTGGTGGAGTAATTATAAATCTTTCACAAACTATCACATATTCTAATTAAGAAAACCAAATGGTTAGTTAGATCCATTTGAAGTTCTATTAGAAAGCTTTTAAATGAAATTCAATAAAAACAAGAGTTATTATGGTGAGTAACTACTATAACTTTAATTGATTTTCTTACCTTTTATGCTTATTTTTTATATATTACTCCCTCCGTCCCATTTTAGTTGTCCTACTTTCCCTTTTGGGTTGTCCAAAAATGAATGTCATGTTTCCTTTTTGGCAAGAAATATGGGGTTCTTATCATTTCACTTTTTTCTCCTCAGATCTCAACCACAACTTTTACTTTTCAACCACTTTATTAATAATCGTGCCAAATTGAAAGTGGATAACCAATATGGGACGGAGGTAGTACATGATAGAATGTAAAGGTATTTGAGTAAACCTTCCTGAATTACTTATCCTACGTTGCCCTAACCTCCTGCATTTCGTCGTTATTGTTTCCTATTGTTCACAAGTCTATTACTTTCTCACTTGAAATCTCAACTAGCCTGGAATCTCTATTCTTCTTCAATCTTCTACATACGAAGCATCTGATGAAGGTTTGGTTAATTTCTCACACACAATTGTACGAGACAAACAACCCTCCGAAACACAAATTCGAATTCTTCACATGGTTCTAGCCATTCCTCATAGATTTCTTAAAGCTCCTTTCTTCCTCTTCTTAAAAAACTTTGTTGATTATCAGGTTAGTATATATGCTCATGCATAAGTCCCAATTCGTTATTTATGTATACAACTCAATATTCTTATCCCGATTAGAGTTGAACAACTATCCAAAGTGTATATTACTAGATTGTATAGTCATTTCTTTTCTTGCAATTTTTTCTTTTCTTGCATTTACTTTGTTCTGAAATCTGAAAGATTCCGCAAGGTGTTTAGATTTTGCATACCAATTCTTTTCACTAAGCTATGCAATAATAACGGCTAAGGAGGTACGACAAATAAATATGTGTGTGTATTTTTTGTATTTGCATCGCCTTAAATTCCAACTCCAACATGTTAACTTTCATGGATATCTTATTTGGTTCATTATCATTATGATTAGAGCGGAATGTTATGTTACTTTGTTAATTGTCTTTTTTCGAGTTATATTTTTTTTATTTCCAGTTATATAAGAAAAATGTACTTCTCAAATTAATATTTGAAACTAGATTTTCTCTTATTAATTACTTCTACTCTAGAGCTATACAACAACATCCAAGCCTTAGTCCCAAACGATATTGGGGTCGGCTAACATGAATTGATACATGATATCGCCAAAAGGATAACTGGGGAATCTTATAAGTTGCAGAGCAGAATCGTATAGTTATAGAGCTATAAGTTGCATTTTTTCTTTAATCCTTCTTTGGTTATAGAGCATAATCGTATGTTACTTTGGTAATTAGCGTTGACCAAGTAGATTTTAACCACTCCAGTACTTGGCCAGTGATTCTCTCTAAAAAAATCATCTTAGTTTAGTTTAAATTGATAACGGGTTGTGAAGGGATTGTTGGGAATTAATTCAAGTTTTTCATAATAGTGGTTTTCATTTTATTCTGAATTTATTTAATGAAATTCTATGCTAATATATTCTTATATATTTAATATAGGTATTTGAAGACTTGCTGATGCATGAATGCATTATATTATTCTTCAAAATACTACTACTATTGAAACTTGGGCTGAGGCTTTCTACGGAAGGCATGTGCATGGGTTGGGGTTGTGCGAACTGTGTCGAGTTGCACCATAATCCTCACATCATTTATTTGTTTCATGCTCGGTTGCACAACTGGTGTGGTGGTAGTTGGATTGGGAATTGATTGGGTGGGACTGTTTTTTGTGTGGATTGGGTGGAAGCTTTTTTGCAGCAAATAACAGAGAGGATTGCAGCCTCATGGTTATGGTTTGTTGTGGTTTGTGGCTGGCCAGAAATGAAAAGGTATGGCGGAATATTACTCCAAATCTGGAAGTCATTTTAGCTCGTGTGAAACGCTTTTGGTCGGCATGGCAGCAGGCCCAGAAGCAAGGCGCTAATAGAAGGAATTCACAGCAGGTCTGGTCTACGTTGAAGACTCCTATAGCAGGTAGAATAAAACTGAACAATGATGCCGTTGAGGCGGGAGATGGAATATGGGGACTGAGCTGGGTAACCTGGGTTATTCGAGATTCACTGGTGAGCTTCATAGCGGGAGGGTCATCTGAGGTGCTCGAGAAGTGCTCTGTCCGTGAAGCTTAAATCTTAAGTATACGAGAAACATTGAGTCGGGTCAGGGATTACACGTGGGACTTTATTGACGTTGAATCTGATTCAATCCAAGCAATCTCTCAAACGAGGAGGCTCCGTAAATGCTTTTTGGGATGACCGGTGAGGATATTAGATCGATTCAAGCAAAACTTTGTTAGTCTTGATTTTTTTCATAAGAAACAATTTGCGAACCGGGTGACTCACTCCTTAACGAAAGCGGTTGGTTCCTTGCCTAATCTCGATCATGATTTAATTAATTATAATTAATTACTTTCCCTTAAAAACACTATTAAAAAATGTGTATTTGAAATACAATTATCAGATTAAATCAACGGTATGCATATGCAGACATTTGAATAATTACGCGACCTTGAAAGCAATTTGTTAGTTAATTATCCCGTGCAACGCACGGGTAAAAAACTAGTTTTTTTAAATGAAGCTTAGCCAATGTATTAGTAATTCTCATCGATATCTATTTAACCAATTTTATTAGACTTGATTCTATTGGCCTGGTTACTAGAGTTACACGATTTATTCAGCGACAATGACGAATCCAGGAAATAAGTTCATTTGGGATATAATAATACAAAATATATACATGTATATATTGAATAGAAATAGACATAATTATTATAGGATAAAAATTGTTTTGCACGGAATATATAAATAGTGATATGTTTCCACATGTTTTATGTTATTTTTGCATGTTTATAATTGAACCAATCATGAATAGGACTTGACCCATTCAATTCAAAGCACAAATGGTACCTGGTGTCAAACCGAAGAGCCTGTCAACTCTTTTTTTTAACCCAGTAGGCAAACCAAGTCAGTGGGCTAAATGTAGGAGAACATTTGCTGTATTTGGTATTTTATTAACATAAATTATCCTAAAGATGAGTAAAAACGTTTTGAAATTTCAAAATAGGACTATTATATTTTTTTTATTTCCTGAATAGGAGTAATCTGTCAAGTTTAAAAAAAAATGTCATGTTTAAAACCTACTAATGCCAAACTTGACAGAAATTTACTCCTATTTAGGGAATAAAAAACATGATACTCCTATTTTGGAATTCTCTCTTTTATTAAAAAGTAAAGAAAAATACAGAAGAGGGAGGTAAATGCATGTCCAGCCTTTTTTTAATCATACATGATGATATATACTTAAATTACTAAAAACGTTTATGGTCTAATCCTTATTTATAGTTGTGATATTCTTATATTTTTGTTATGCTAGCTTGGTAATGAAGATCATTAAAAGTCCTTTCCATTTTTTCAGTTTAGTTTTTTATTATGTCAACCATTTTTTCAATTGAAGATGGTTTAATTAGATGGTTCAATGAGATTAATTTGAAGTAAAATTTACATCCTTTAAACATTGATATGATTTATTTCAACAAAAAAGTTATTGAGGGCAAAAGGAAATGTTTTTGGAGCATGGAATAAAATTATTGCGGCAAATTGTTTTCATTTAAAAGAAACGTATTCAGATTTCTATATTTAGTTAATTTATATATAAAAAAAGATATTACCCGAAATAGGACTAAAAATGTTTGAAAATTCCAAAATAGGACTGTTATGTTTTTATTCCCAAAATAGGACTAATTACTGTCATGTTTTGTCAGTACCAGACTTCAAACATGACAGTATTTTCCAAACTTGACAGTAATTACTCCTATTTTGGGAATAAAAAACATGACAGTCCTATTTTAGAATTTTCAAACTGTTTTAGTCCTATTTCGGGAACTTTCCCAAAAAAAAATTGGGTGTATCCGTGTATGTGCCCCACTATTTATCCATTTAGCGGCCAACATACAATATTATATTCAATAATGCTACGTGTACACAAATGTTGTACACACTCTCCACACTCTATATAAACCCTACACAATTTTATACCCCTCTCTCCCTCTCATTCATACGATTATACGAACCCTCCCCCACTTTCTCTTCTTTTCTCGCATTTTATCACCTTTACATCAGCCATCACCATCCATCAATCTTCTTACCTACATTTCCATCTTCACCATCTCCATCTTCTTCACTACATCTCCATCTTCCACTTTCATGTATCTCATCCATATTCATCATCTTGTGTCTTCACCATCTTCCATATCCATCACCTAAACATCCATACAATTATCATCTTTTAGAGTCAATTGTAGGAACAAAAAATTTGAGTCGCTATAATTAAAGTCGCCGAAAATTATACATGAACATTCATCGGACTATTAATCTGTGTATACAGACATTGCATTTTTTCATTGTTTGTGCACACAGACAAAATTGTTAAGCACAGAAAAAATGTATACAAATAATTTGTGTACAGACAACTAAACGACTATGCACGAACACTGGTTTGTGTGTTGTGGATAGGGTTGGCCCGGGGCCGGTCTGACCGGCCCGGGACCCGGACCGGCCAACCACTATGCGGGCCCAGCCCGGTATCGGGCCTAGGCCCGACCTGGGGGGTTATGGGGGCGGTTCCGGGACTTGAAATTTGGGGACCGGACTGGCTGGTCCGGGCAAGTAACGGCTACTTTTTTTAAAAATAATAATAATAAAAACAATGGCTCCTAGCCGTTGGGAAAGTCCCAAACAGCTCTATAGCTGTTGGGTGCAAGGAAGGGGGGGGGGGGGGGTCCCGGGGGTTTGAGGGTGGGGGGGGGGGGGGGTACAAAAAAAATCTATAAATTCTCCCATTTTCTATACATTTTTCTACACCTTTTCTCCAACTCTTCCTACTCTCTACTCTCTATTCTCTAATACTCTTAATCATCTTCATCTTCATCTTCTCCAATTCTCTCTACTATACATCTATTTCACTATTTATACAATTATTATATGTACTTATATATATATATTAATTATCTACTTATTAATACATATATTATATTACTTATATTTATTATTTACTTAATATATACTTGTTATCTACTTAATATCTATTTATATATATTAAAGTATTAAATATAAGTGTATTACTCATCTTATAGTAGTATACTTAAATACTACATATTATATACTATAAACATTATATTATATATTAGTTATACAATTATTATATCTACTAAAATAGTTATTATCTACTTATAAATGCATATATCTACTCATATTTACTATCTACTTAATATATACTTAATATCTACTTCATATCTACTTACTATATACTTGTTATTTACTTATATTACATCTAATTAAAGTATTAAATATAAGTGTACTACTCATATTATAGTAGTATACTTATATATTAATATTATATACAATACACAATATATTATATATTACTTACACTTTAATTAATATTAGTTACATTAATTAGTATACACATTCATACACGTTTCCTATTAGTTACGTTTTTATTAATATTAGTTCATTAGTTAATTGTTACATTTCTCATTATAGTAGTTCATTAGTTAATTTTTACATTTCTCATTAAAGTATAAAAGTGGTTAATTGTTACATTTGTCATTAAAGTATAAAAGTAGTGAATTGTTAAATTTCTCATTTTCGTATTAGTTAAAGTCACACTTGTTAGTTTTAAGTATTTATTAAAGTAGTTCAAATTTTTATTTTTAAAACAAAAAGTAGTTCGAATTTTATTTCATTAAACTACACTTGTTAGATTGAAATATTAATTAAAACAGTTGGAAATATAGATAATTAAACTACACTTGTTAAATTGAAGTATTTATTAAAGTAGTTGGAATTTTAGTTGATAAAACTATTAAACTTGTTAGATTCTTAGTATTTATTGAAATAGTTGGGATTTTAGTTAATTAAACTATTAAACTTTTTAATTGAAAGTATTTACTAAAATACTTGGTTAAACTATTTTGCTATAATCTTACTAGTTAATATATATTTTAAATATATTATAATATTAGTTACATTCTCATATCAAATTTATAACAATTCCATTATTAGTTGCATTAACATATTAACATATTTGTTACAATTTAATATTTGTTACATTTTTAAGATGGAACGTGGTAGACATTCTGTTGATATGGGTAACGTCAACTGCAAGCGAATGAAGGAGATTGCGAGACATCATCCTTCTTCACGCAAAAGTAAAGGACATGTCGGGACTTCTTCTCAAAGCCGAGATGATTTTGAAACGGATTACCATTGAGGAAGAGGAAGAGCTTGAGGATGAGGATGCGATGTCCGACGAGCAACTACAACAACTATTGGACCAACATAATGACGCTTTTTCGGTTTTTCCAACAATGTGACATCCCAGACATTGAGGAAAAGGAAGAGCTCGAGGATGAGGATGCGGAGGAGGATGATCCAGCGACAGGCGAGGACGAGGGTGACGACACCCCGTGATGAAAACGGTTAGCAACACAAGAGGGGGGGGGGGGGGGGTGAATTGTGTGTGTGTGGAACCGTGGCAGTTTTTCGCCGAGTTCTAGTGTGGGATAAAGGGAATTGCGAAATAGTAAAGTGCACAAGAATTTAACGAGGAAAAATCCCTTGGCTCAAAGGGATTGAAAAACCTCGACCTCCCTCGGAGGAATTTTAAACAACTTCACTAAACAAGCCTTTGAAAGAGTTACAAGAGTGATTCTCCTAATCTACCCTTGAGCCTCCCCAACTCTCTCCTCTCTAGAAAGAGTTATGCATCTCTACCTTGCGGGTAGAGAGCCTCTCAGCTTTATCACAAAGCTCTCACACACACTTAACCCGAGGCAGCTACTCTAGCCAATTAAGCCTCAATATTCCAAGTACAATATGAAAGGGAAAAGAAAAACTCTATCTAGAACTCCGAGCGGGCAGTTTCAGGCGCCAAGGACTTGATCCTTTTCTTGAATGATTCTTCTAAGTATTTTTCTCAGTTCAGCACTGACTTCGAATCACCTTTGGTTCGGAATATATAGCTCCTTTTGAGACAACCGTTGGCTCCTCTTTCCTTAGTAGGTTGCTTGATTATTTAATGCACTTCCCTTGATAATTCTTGAATTTCTTTCCTTCCAATGGATCTTTCCAACTTGGTCTCAATCAAGAGTGGATTTGCTCATTATTTACGAATTATCATATAAGGAAGAAAAGCAACGGTCATTAAAAGATTATCACCAAATACGGAACTAATTTACCAAAGGAAGCTTTTGGTCAACTTTTTGTAAATGGAAGCTTTAATAATAATTTCCTTCCTTCTTTGGAGTGGATTAATCATTTGAAAAATCTTTCCATTAGGATATCAAATCATGCTACGGATATTACAAAAATCCCAAAAGATAATAACATCATGCAGGCCATGAATAACGTTGCATAACATAATCATTCAAATAAAGCTTCGAATAGAACCAGGAGAAGTTCTAGTCCTGGTCTCTGCATGGTTAGCCA